GGTTCAACTTAACCTGGATATGTTTGAGTTAGCCGGTTGGCCCAATCCAAAACATACGCGCTCTCGCTAAGCTGTACTACGACGCTGGTTATCAAGTGGATCGCTCAAGCCAGCCGTGTCCTATCTAGTTAGGTGCGCGTTCACATGAAAGGGGTGGTATTTGGAGCATTCGACCAATCACAAACATGGACAAGCGTACTGACAGCGCAGCGTCATACTTCCTGAATGAAAAGTGAACTTTAATATTAGTCAAATATGAAGAAGTTAAACTTTAAACATCCATGACTTAAACACTTTATCCAGGATCAAAGCCACATAGCTGCACCTGCAAGGTGAATACAGCTGGTAACAGAAAAAGTGTTTGAATGCGTACATTAACAGGTTTATGAAATCACTGCCCCGTCCAAGACACGAGTGGATCTGACTTTAATTACATTTGACTCGAGTGTTTCGTCAACTTAATGTGTTGCTTAAAATAATACTTCTGCATACAGTATGTGACACTGTGAGTGTTGCACGGCCAGATACGGCTCAGCTGACTCAGATAAGGAAATATATGATACATTATGATGTGATATGATATGAATGATAATGGGACACATCGACGTCTGCACTCACAGTGCCGCGGACTGTACTTAATGTTACTCTGATCCGGTTACTTATGTCGTGGCAGATATTTAAGTAAGCTTTCTTAACGCTAATGTTATAATAGTCAGATTGCTCTGAAGATGGGAGGAGGGGATATTCTATTAATTTTCACGTTCACACAGTCAGTTGATTTTTGCCGGCCGTCTTTCCTGCAACGGCAGTTTTTCTGTATTTCCTCTATCCTGTAATATGAATTGATCGCTTTAAACTCCGCACACTGAGCTCTGATTGGTCAGCAGGCGGTGCTTTCACTGAGTTGATCTCTTAGCCTGCAACCTAACCTCCTCCCGAGGAGGTTAGCCGCTCAGCATAAGTTACCATGGAGATCTAGCCCGCTAAAAAGAGAACCAGCGTCGTAGGACCGGAAAGCCCGAGTTTTCCCTGAAGTCAGCTCAGAGAACATCCAGCTTCGTAGTACAGGCCTCTGACCTCCATTCAGAAAACACGCATTTTAAAAGGTTTTTCGCCTGCCGTCTGTCTGCAGACTTGACAAAGCATTAATTCATGGTTTTTACTAACCGGTATCAGTATGTTGTTACTTCGGCATCATTTTGAAACGTGTATTACAATTAATTCACGGTAAAATATGTTCATGTTGTTGTAGTTGTAGCCCCCTTGCCAGCGATTCTCTCTGACCAATCAGCAGTCGAGAGTGTTTACGTCACTAGTTTAGCATATTCAGCCCGGTTGTTGGCCCGGGAAGAACCTCGGTTTTGGAGGGCCAGAAACTACCCCTAGTGGAAACGCAACAAAAAAGTGGTCCGGGTTTGGCACGGCATGCTGAAACCGTGCTACGTGCTACGTGGGAGAGCGCCATAACTGATGATGTCATCGCTCTGAACATTCCGCCCCATTGTAAAATCTGAAACACTCCGAAAATATCACAAAACTTAAACTGTGATTTCAGGAAAACCGTTCTATCCGTCAAAAAAACCTTTTCGCCTAATACAGCTGAGAGTGTGGAGAGCTGTTTAAACTTTAAATCTTCTTTATACGTTGAAGTACGGCGAATCAGTGTGACCGCAAAGTTGGATGTTTTTTTTTGCAATTTGCGTAAAAACAGCTTGTTAAATATCTTAGAAAAGTCATTGTCATCATATTATCTTTAGTACTGGTTATGCCTTAAGGCCTTTCAGAGTCATACATATTAGATGACTGGATGCTTTTTATTAAATCCAGTCGGTTTGTTTTTGTAGCCTGCAGCTGGACTTCATTTCTTATTCCTTCCGTCATTCTGTTTCATACCTTTTCAGCTTATTGTGCAATTACTTTTTATAGCAACGCTGTGACGCTCATACCCAAATAACCCTGCCTCGCTGTGCACTAATGCAGCTGCACATCAGGGTGAAACTCCACGAGCTGAACCTCATTCAAAACGTCATCAGAGAGCTCATTCTGCACGGAAACAGGGGCGGGAAGTAACTAAGTACATTTACTCAAGCACTGCACTTAAGTACGACTTTTTCCTTAAGTCCTTAAGTATTCCCACTCCTTTATACTTTCACTCCACTACATGTATTCAACAGCTTCAGTGACTTTGCATTAAAAACACGTGATACACTTTGAACATCAATCATCTCTAAAAGTTAGACGAGTGGATTAACTGTCAAAGGTACAACAAAGTACAAATATACAATATGTTACAAAAAGTCCTCAACGTCAATAATGTCGTGTGTGTGTGTGTGTGTGTGTGTGTGTGTGTGTGTGTGTGTGAGATATGAGTTGCTGTCTGGCTTTTGAAGAAGTGTTCAAGGCTTTAATTGGTGATTCTACAGCATGTCGTTATGACGATGAAAGTCTGAGGTCACAGGCTCCTCCAACAGAGCAACACAATAACACAGAAAAAATAGTGCAATTAAATTGAAATAGTGAAATAGTGAATCACCGAGAGAGATCTTCATCCTGCTCTACAGACGCAGGGAGGGGATGGAAAGGCTCTTAGATAACGTGTCTGTTTATCAGCAGTTTGACTTTGTGTGTTCATGAAACAGCCTCTATGCATCACCTTCAAAACAACACAGCATTCAGTAGATAACTCTTATTGATGAAGCTGCAAACACATGCTTATAATAGTGTGATTATACACAACACACACACCTTGTGGTCGCCTAAACACATGCAAATCTATTTTCTATTTATACTGTTTGAGTGATGAATAATTCAGAGGGGGTCGATGTGATTTCTAAAGATCTTGCAGAGATATTCTGACTTTCTGAATTAAAGTTAAGAAGTATAAAGTATACGTATTTGAGTACATGTACTTTCCTAAAACCAGCTGTAGATAATTATACTTTTACTGAAAGACAATCCTTATTTAAACGCGTCAGTACCCACCGTCAGAATTATACTTTCTGGGGTCACTTGTTTTCAATGTCCTCTAATTTAAGTAAAGATTTGTTCATTTTACTTAAAAAAAAGATTAAATTCAAGGTTAAATAATGTGTGTTCGGGTGCTAACTGTTTGTTCAGGTGACAGTAGATACCCCAGGATTACATGAATTCATTTTCACAGCACTGTACACAATATACAATCACAAACAACAACAATCACACAGACAACAACAGAGAGAGACACACGTGGCAGGTAAACTCAGCGAGGCCTGTCAAGCTTTTTCTAATCCATATTTATGTGTACTTCTTCACACATGATGTTCCCTTCCTGCGTTGCTAAGGAGTCTCACAGTAAATGTCAAAGTGTGATCTGCAGAATCTGAAAATAGACGATCTTTAGTTTAATAACAACAACAGCGAGTGGAGTGTATTATGTGACGTCAGTAATGTGAGCAGCTCCGACCTGACAGAAATCTGTGTGTTCATTATTCTCTTTATCAATGTCCTGTTTACACACGTCTTATTATCTGAAGCCTCATCATGATGTTCACGTGTCACACAGCGCCCTCTAGTGTTAACTCTGGGTAAGTGCACGAGCAGGAGAGGACTATTGCTCCAGATGCACATGTTTAATTCCAATTCTGTGTGTGTGTGTGTGTGTGTGTGTGTGTGTGTGTGTGTGTGTGTTAGCATTGCTATCCTTGTGGGGACCTACATCTGTTTATACAGCCACGTGTGGGGACTCGCCTCCCTTATGGGGACATAATGGAGGTCCCCATAAGGGGAATCATTAATTTTAGGGTGAAGACTTGGTTAGGGTTACGCATGTGTTGGTTATGGGTAAGGTTAGGATAAGTCTCCAGGAAATGCATGTAAGTCAATGTAATGTCCCCTGAAGTGATGTATACATGGTATGTGTGTGTGTGTGTCTTTACTTGTAAATTCATCTTACTGTCTTCCGTGTATCTGTACTTGTCTTGTAATTCCTATATATATCCTATACCTAAAAAAAGAAGATTGAGGCCCATAGAGAGGTGCCACACACACACACACACACACACACACACACACACACACACACACACACACACACACAGCTCACCTCTCCTCCCGGTGTGTATTTTTTTAAATATTTTTCAATATTATTATAGTTTTCTTCAAATAGTTTTCTCTCTGTGTTTTTGTATATGTGTCAACCTACCTGGTGATAACCCTGATTCAGATACTCCTGGCAGGAGCCTAAATAAACTAAAATATAAAGTCAACAGAAAGACGTGCCAAGGTTTATCAATTCTGTCTAAATGTGCAGTTGTTCATGTTTTTCGCCTTGTGTTTCCTTTTTGGTAGATAACACATATTATATTTTAATGTATTAATACTTTGTTATCATTGCAAATACTACAACATGCAAAGAGTAGATAAAGTGCACCTGCAGTATATTCACATAAATGGGTAGTATTCAAGTTGTTGCATATGTAACGCAAGCTCCAGACACGTTTGTATAGATATAAGATGTATGTATATATGATGCGACTTCAGGAAATGAACCAAGTCACTGAGAGGCTGGGGTGCAATGCGCTGACGTGCTATCAAAGAAGTTAATTGCTGAGATCCAAATGCTGTGAAATAATCCTCATCCTCATTAATTCAATTACACATAAGAATTACTTTACCATTAATGCCCAATGACATATATGTCACTTTTCAGATCTCTCACACTAGGGAGGGTTTCATGTCAGAAAGGTGTTCTATGTGGTCTATTAAGTCTAAATGATGTTTCCCCAAAAGTAGAAATGGTTCCTGGTTAATCCCATTTATATCCATGTGACCCACACAAACCATTGCAATCACACAATAATCAATTATATTACAAACCATTAGTCACTATTACGAACAATTGAAGGTGCAGAGTTGAGGCAGATAGATATAAGTTAGACACAGTCACCAATAGAGCAGAATAAATGCATGTGAAGACGTTTCTGTTTCCGTATGTAAAGATGTTAAATCTGTGTTTCCTGCAGCAGCCAGCAGAGCAGCCACGAAGAGGACGCCTCTCGCTTCCTCACCCCTTTAATCCGGAAGGAGAGGTGAGCTGTGTGTGTGGTGTGTGTGGTGTATGTGTTTGTGGCCTCGCTATGGGCCTCAATCTTTTTTTTTTAGGTATCCTAAACCTTTTTTTAGGTTTAGGTACAGTGTCACAGATACACATAAGACAATAAGGTGAATTTACAAGTAAAGACACACGCACACGCACACGCACACGCACACACACACGCACACGCACACACACACACACACACACACGCTGGAGATATTCAGCATTCTGTCAATTCATTCTTATTTCTTATGGCTATATAACTCTAAATTAAGAGCACATAAGGTCATCAGAATCAGATTTCCTTTATTCGTCACACAGAGATTCACAATGAGTATATTCATGCTCCTAGAATGAATGATCCACTCATATGAAGGAATTCCCTCATTTCTGTTTGCGTCAGTTTATTTCATGCATGCATTCTCCACAAGGGGGCACTTCTTTAATACTGGCGCACACAAGTATGGAGTGGTGTCATGTGACCTTGCTGTAGTTCCTTTATAGCCCAACATTAGCCACCTTTAGCTTAGCGGTGGTGACGTGAAGTCATGTGACCGTGCTGTAGTTCCTTCATAGCCCAACATTAGCCGCCTTTAGCTTAGCGGTGCTGACGTGAAGTCATGTGACCGTGCTGTAGTTCCTTTATAGCCCAACATTAGCCGCCTTTAGCTTAGCGGTGGTGACGTGAAGTCATGTGACCGTGCTGTAGTTCCTTTATAGCCCAACATTAGCCACCTTTAGCTTAGCGGTGGTGACGTGAAGTCATGTGACCGTGCTGTAGTTCCTTTATAGCCCAACATTAGCCACCTTTAGCTTAGCGGTGGTGACTTGAAGTCATGTGACCGTGCTGTAGTTCCTTATAGCCCAACATTAGCCACCTTTAGCTTAGCGGTGGTGACGTGAAGTCATGTGACCGTGCTGTAGTTCCTTTATAGCCCAACATTAGCCACCTTTAGTTTAGCGGTGGTGACTTGAAGTCATGTGACCGTGCTGTAGTTCCTTTATAGCCCAACATTAGCCACCTTTAGCTTAGCGGTGGTGACGTGAAGTCATGTGACCGTGCTGTAGTTCCTTTATAGCCCAACATTAGCCTCCTTTAGCTTAGCGGTGGTGACGTGAAGTCATGTGACCGTGCTGTAGTTCCTTTATAGCCCAACATTAGCCTCCTTTAGCTTAGCGGTGGTGACGTGAAGTCATGTGACCGTGCTGTAGTTCCTTTATAACCCAACATTAGCCGCCTTTAGCTTAGCGGTGGTGACGTGAAGTCATGTGACCGTGCTGTAGTTCCTTTATAGCCCAACATTAGCCTCCTTCAGCTTAGCGGTGGTGACGTGAAGTCATGTGACCGTGCTGTAGTTCCTTTATAGCCCAACATTAGCCTCCTTTAGCTTAGCGGTGGTGACGTGAAGTCATGTGACCGTGCTGTAGTTCCTTTATAGCCCAACATTAGCCTCCTTTAGCTTAGCGGTGGTGACGTGAAGTCATGTGACCGTGCTGTAGTTCCTTTATAGCCCAACATTAGCCGCCTTTAGCTTAGCGGTGGTGACGTGAAGTCATGTGACCGTGCTGTAGTTCCTTCATAGCCCAACATTAGCCGCCTTTAGCTTAGCGGTGGTGACGTGAAGTCATGTGACCGTGCTGTAGTTCCTTTATAGCCCAACATTAAGCCTCCGTTAGCTTAGCAGTGGTGAACGTGAAGTCATTTGACCGGGCTGTAGTTCCTTATAGCCCAACATTAGCACTCCTTAGCTTAAGCGGTGGTGACGTGAAGTCAGTGACCAGGTGCTGTAAGTTATCCTTTAATATCCACACATTGAGCGCCTTAGCTTAGCGGTGGGTGACGTGAATTCATGTGACCCGTGCCTGTAAGTGTCCTTCATACGCCAACATTAGGCCAGCCTTTAGCTTAGCGGTGCCTGAACGGTTGAAGTCATGTGACCACCGTGCTGATAGTTCCTTCATAGTGGCTGCCCAACTTAGCCGCCATTTAGCTTAGCAGGTGGTGACGTGAAGTCATGTTGACCGTGCTGTAGTTCCTTATAGACCCAACATTAAGCCACCTTTAAGCTTAGCGGTGGTGACTTGAAGTGCAGTGTGACCGTGCTGTAGTTCCTTATAGCGCCAACATTAGCCACCATTAGCTTAGCGGTGTTGGACGTGAAGTCATGTGAACCGTGCTGTAGTTCATTTATAGCCCAACATTAGCCACCTTTAGTTTAGCGGTGGTGACTTGAAGTCATGGTGACCGTGCTGTAGTTCCTTTATAGCCCAACATTAGCCACCTTTAGCTTAGCGGTGGTGACGTGAAGTCATGTGACCGTGCTGTAGTTCCTTTATAGCCCAACATTAGCCTCCTTTAGGCTTAGCGGTGGTGACGTGAAGTCATGTGACCGTGCTGTAGTTCCTTTATAGCCCAACATTAGCCTCCTTTAGCTTAGCGGTGGTGACGTGAAGTCATGTGACCGTGCTGTAGTTCCTTTATAACCCAACATTAGCCCCGCCTTTAGCTTAGCGGTGGTGACGTGAAGGTCCATGTGAACCGTGCTGTAGTGTCCTTTATAGCCAACATTAGCCTCCTTCAGCTTAGCGGTGGTGACGTGAAGTCATGTGACCGTGCGTGTAGTTCCTTTATAGCCCAACATTAGCCTCCTTTAGCTTAGCGTGGTGACGTGAAGTCATGTGACCGGTGCTGTAGTTCCTTTATAGCCCAACATTAGCCTCCTTTAGCTTAGCGGTGGTGACGTGAAGTCATGTGACCGTGCTGTAGTTCCTTATAGCCCAACATTAGCCTCTTTAGCTTAGCAGTGGTGACGTGAAGTCATGTGACCGTGCTGTAGTTCCTTATAGCCCAACATTAGCCTCCTTTAGCTTAGCGTGGTGACGTGAAGTCATGTGACCGTGCTGTAGTTCTTTATAGCCCAACATTAGCCGCCTTTAGCTTAGCGGTGGTGACGTGAAGTCATGTGACCGTGCTGTAGTTTCCTTCATAGCCCAACATTAGCCCCTTTAGCTTAGCGGTGGTGACGTGAAGTCATGTGACCGTGCTGTAGTTCCTTTATAGCCAACATTAGCCTCCTTTAGCTTAGCAGTGGTGACGTGAAGTCATGTGACCGTGCTGTAGTTCCTTATAGCCCAACATTAGCCTCCTTTAGCTTAGCGGTGGTGACGTGAAGTCATGTGACCGTGCTGTAGTTCCTTCATAGCCCAACATTAGCCGCCTTTAGCTTAGCGGTGGTGACGTGAAGTCATGTGACCGTGCTGTATTTCCTTCATAGCCCAACATTAGCCGCCTTTAGCTTAGCGGTGCTGACGTGAAGTCATGTGACCGTGCTGTAGTTCCTTCATAGCCCAACATTAGCCGCCTTTAGCTTAGCGGTGGTGACGTGAAGTCATGTGACCGTGCTGTAGTTCCTTTATAGCCCAACATTAGCCACCTTTAGCTTAGCGGTGGTGACGTGAAGTCATGTGACCGTGCTGTAGTTCCTTTATAGCCCAAACATATAGCCACCTTTAGCTTAGCGGTGGTGACTTGAAGTCATGTGACCAGTGCTGTAGTTCCTTTATAGCCCAACATTAGCCACCTTAGCTTAGCGGTGGTGACGTGAAGTCATGTGACCGTGCTGTAGTTCCTTTATAGCCCACATTAGCCACCTTTAGCTTAGCGGTGGTGACTTGAAGTCATGTGACCGTGCTGTAGTTCCTTTATAGCCCAACATTAGCCACCTTTAGCTTAGGCGGTGGTGACTTGAAGTCATGTGACCGTGCTGTAGTTCCTTTATAGCCCAACATTAGCCACCTTTAGCTTAGCGGTGGTGACTTGAAGTCGTGTGACCGTGCTGTAGTTCCTTTATAGCCCAACATTAGCCACCTTTAGCTTAGCGGTGGTGACGTGAAGTCATGTGACCGTGCTGTAGTTCCTTCATAGCCCAACATTAGCCACCTTTAGCTTAGCGGGTGGTGACTTGAAGTCATGTGACCGTGCTGTAGTTCCTTTATAGCCCAACATTAGCCACCTTTAGCTTAGCGGTGGGTGACGTGAAGTCATGTGACCGTGCTGTAGTTCCTTTATAGCCCAACATTAGCCACCTTTAGCTTAGCGGTGGTGACTTGAAGTCATGTGACCGTGCTGTAGTTCCTTTATAGCCCAACATTAGCCACCTTTAGCTTAGCGGTGGTGACTTGAAGTCATGTGACCGTGCTGTAGTTCCTTTATAGCCCAACATTAGCCACCTTTAGCTTAGCGGTGGTGACTTGAAGTCGTGTGACCGTGCTGTAGTTCCTTTATAGCCCAACATTAGAGCCACCTTTAGCTTAGCGGTGGTGACGTGAAGTCATGTGACCGAGCTGTAGTTCCTGTTATAGTCCAACATTAGCTGCCTTTAGCTTAGCGGTGGTGACGTGAAGTCATGTGACCGTGCTGTAGTTCCTTCATAGCCCAACCATTAGCCACCTTTAGCTTAGCGGTGGAGACGTGAAGTCATGTGACCGTGCTGTAGTTCCTTCATAGCCCAACATTAGCCACCTTTAGCTTAGCGGTGGAGACGTGAAGTCATGTGACCGTGCTGTACTTCCTTTATAGCCCAACATTAGCCAGCCTTTAGCTTAGCGGTGGTGACGTGAAGTCATGTGACCGCGTGCTTGTAGTTCCTTTATAGCCCAACATTAGCCACCTTTAGCTTAGCGTGGTGACGTGAAGTCATGTGACCGTGCTGTAGTTCCTTTATAGCCCAACATTAGCCTCATTTAGCTTAGCGGTGGTGACGTGAAGTCAATGTGACCGTGCTGTAGTTCCTTTATAGCCCAACATTAGCCACCTTTAGCTTAGCGGTGGTGACGTGAAGTCATGTGAACCCGTGCTGTAGTTCCTTTATGAGCCCAACATTAGCCTCATTTAGCTTAGCGGTGGTGACGTGAAGTCATGTGACCGTGCTGTAGTTCCTTTATAGCCAACATTAGCCACCTTTAGCTTAGGCGGTGGTGACGTGAAGTCATGTGACCGTGCTGTAGTTCCTTTATAGCCCAACATTAGCCTCATTTAGCTTAGCGGTGGGTGACGTGAAGTCAATGTGACCGTGCTGTAGTTCCCTTATATAGCCCAACATTAGGTTCATACCATAAACTGTCTGTTTAATGGGCTTTTATTAATCTGTCTTTCCCTTTAAAGTACACATTAAAGAGCCTTTAGACTAGTTAGCAGGATGGAAGTGTCAGTGACTTTAACGAGGACTCTTTTTTTTGTCAACTTGACAACCTTTTTCGTGTTTATATTTAAATACATTTACTCAAGTACTGTTCTTACGTAAGTACTTCCGGATAACTCAGTCTGAGTCGAGATACATGCTCTCGCTTCCTAAAAACCCTCCTCCTCCTCCTCCTCCTCCTCCTCCTCGTCTCCCTCAGATCACTTCCTGTCTAATCGATGGGATTGCTCTCGGCTCTGGTCTTTTGTTGATAGTTTAGTACTTAGTATTGAAGGTTCTCTGCAGCCGGCTTTATGTCATGTCTCCTCTGCAGGTAAAAAACACTCTGCAGCTAAATCTCCGTCTCTCCGTCTCTCCGTCTGCTCTCTGCTCTCTGCTGCAGTGCTACCTGTGCAGCTGCCGGATAACGTGCATGTGTTATTTGTATTTACTTGCACATCTCTAAAGCATTCTCTTGCACTATGTCATCTGTGTTATTGTTCTATGTCCTGTGTGCTGCTCTGTCAGAGAGCCTGTGACTTCAGCTTTGCATTGCCATATCTGTAGCTGCTGTGCTAATGACAAGACAGCAAATGAAACTTGAGATATCAGCTGCCGTGTCTCCCAGATCATCGGGCTCATTTTGCCGCTCGTTTGGATTGATCTGCATGTGTTGGATGAACTGCTCCACTCTGACTGCAGATGAGGTTATGTAATGTCTCAGTGTGACTCTGACGAGATGACGCAGTGCATGTTTGTGAATCAGGGTCACACACTGAGATCAAGTGTCATATTAATACAACAACGGCACACTGCAGTGAGACGGGACAGAAGCACATGGCGATTCAAAAAGAAAGGTTGAAAGGGAATGTGAAAGTATGGGTTTAAAAGAGTCGAATAAGTTAGATGTAATTGATTGATTAATAGCAATACATATAAAAACAGAGAATGCTTTACGGCCTGATTTAAAGGTCGCTTACTGTATGATGCTCTTTTTTCAGAATTTGTATTATAGTTTCTTTTCTGTTGCATGTTTGCAATATTTAATCTTTAATAAAAGACTGAGTTCTCTCATACTGTCCACCTGAGTGTACCTGCTTTCAGACTCTGTTCAAACGCTCCGTTTCAGCGCCTGCCTCGAGTCAAATGCAAAAGTAGTTTCAATGGACCTTGTCAATTATTATGAGCATGCATTTGTCTTGTGTCTTTTACTCACGTAGTTGTCCACTTAAAGAAGAGCCTACGAGTTGCAGCAGATCTCTGGGAGTTTGTTGCAGAGAAAGCAGGGTTTAAAAAACTGACTGCCGCTTTTCTGTATTTAGATTTGACTCTGGTGACAGGAAGTAGATCTTTCCCAGATGATATATATGGTTTCTAGAGACTTTAAAACACATCAGAGGAGTGTTTAGGGAGTGTAGAAAATACTCTGTTTCGAGTAGAAGTCCGGCATTCATTCATTCATTTATTCATTTATTCCCAGTATTATTTTTGTCATCGTCTTACATGATTTCAAACTAATGTTAGCGTGGACAGGAGGTAGTCTGAAGTTAAATTCAACTTTATTGTAACATTTTTCAGTTTGTGTGTACAGAGAGATTCGAAATACAGTTTCCACAATCCCGAATACAAAATACAAATATATATAAGAATATGTATAAAACATTTATACATATGCACACATATACACAATCCATAAATAAAAGCACAGGGTTTCAAGTCAACTGCTCCTCATGCTAGGGATGCGTTGAATGCAGATACATTCAGAGCTGGGAAGTAGTGGAGTACAAATACTTTGTTACTGTACTTAAGTACAATACCTGTACTTTCTACTTCTTACATGTTGAACACAAATACCTGTACTTTCTACTTCTTACATGTTGAACACAAATACCTGTACTTTCTACTTCTTACATGTTGAACACAAATACCTGTACTTTCTACTTCTTACATTTGAACCCAAATACCTGTACTTTCTACTTCTCACATGTTGAACACAAATACCTGTACTTTCTACTTCATACATTTTGAGACACAAATACCTGTATGCTTTCTACTTCTTACATGTTTGAACACAAATACCTGTATCTTTCTACTTCTTACAGTTTGAACACAAATACCTGTACTTTCTACTTCTTCTTACTTTTAGAACACAAATACCTGTAGCTTCTACATCTTACTTTTGAACACAAATACCTGTACTTTCTCACTTCTCACATTTTGAACACAAATACCTGTACTTTCTACTTCTTACATGTTGAACCCAAATACCTGTACTTTCTACTTCTTACATGTTGAACACAAATACCTGTACTTTCTACTTCTTACATGTTGAACACAAATACCTGTACTTTCTACTTCTGTACATGTTGAACACAAAAACCTGTACTTTCTACTTCTCACATTTTGAACACAAATACCTGTACTTTCTACTTCTCACATGTTGAACACAAATACCTGTACTTTCTACTTCTTACATGTTGAACACAAATACCTGTACTTTCTACTTCTTACATTTTGAACACAAATACTGTACTTTCTACTTCTTACATGTTGAACCACAAATACCTGTACTTCTACTTCTCACATGTTGAACACAAATACCTGTACTTTCTACTTCTCACATGTTGAACACAAATACCTGTACTTCTACTTCCTTACATGTTGAACCCAAATACCTGTACTTCTACTTCTTACATGTTGAACACAAATACCTGTACTTTCTACTTCTTACATGTTGAACACCAATACCTGTACTTTCTACTTCTTACATTTTGAACACAAATACCTGTACTATTCTACTTCTTACATGTTGAACACAAATACCTGTACTTTCTACTTCTCACATTTCCCAAACAGGCTGGTTCCTTTAGTTTGAATGTGTGTTTGGTGGCGTGCATCATTATTATTTAGAGTCATTGCGTGCCTATTGATTTGAACACGATCCGTGTATCCATCATTTCCTGGTCTTCTCTAAAGAAGAGGGACCAATGAAAACGTTGTCATGTTGCCGTTGTTCAGCATTGGAAACATTCATTAGCTAACAATGACATTATGTTCTATTAATATAAAGGGAGGTCAGGTACTCTTTAAAACAGCTGCTAGTTATGGTTACTTTTTACTGAAGTACCATTTCAAGCCTCTTTACTTTTACTTGAGTAAAGAAGTTAGTCAGTACTTCTACTTTCATTAGAGTATTTTTAAACACGAGTATCTGTACTTCTACTTGAGTAAAGGATGTGTGTACTTCTACTTGAGTAAAGGATGTGGTACTTCTACTTGAGTAAAGGATGTGTGTGTACTTCTACTTGAGTAAAAGGATGTGTGTACTTCTACTTGAGTAAAGGAGTTGTGTGTACTTCTACTTTCACCAGAGTATTTTAACAAACGAGTATCTGTACTTCTACTGAGTAAAGGAATAGGTGTACTTCTACTTGAGTAAAGGATGTGTTGTACTTCTACTTGAGTAAAGGATGTGTTACTTCTACTTGAGTAAAAGGATGTGGTGTACTTCTACTTGAGTAAAGGATGTGTGTACTTCTACTTGAGAGGTAAAGGATGTGTTGTACTTCTACTTGAGTAAAGGATGTGTGTACTTCTACTTGAGTAAAGGATGTGTGTACTTCTACTTGAGTAAAGGATGTGTGTACTTCTACTTGAGTAAAGGATGTGTGTACTTCTACTTGAGTAAAGGATGTGTGTACTTCTACTTGAGTAAAGGATGTGTTGTACTTCTACTTGAGTAAAGGATGGGTGTCCTAGTAGGCTTCTACTTGAGTAAAGGATGTGTGTACTTCTACTTGAGTAAAGGATGTGTGTACTTCTACTTGAGTAAAGGATGTGTGTACTTCTACTTGAGTAAAGGATGTGTGTACTTCTACTTGAGTAAAGGATGTGTGTACTTTTGCCTGTGTCTCACAGAGAGATCCTAATTAGATGAATTATGTCAACACATTTCACACAACTGTAGTAGTTAGTTGAAAGCAATAATATTAGCTTGAACCTAATATTTGTTATTGAAACTTAATATGTTTTGCTTTCAAATAACCTTATACAGTTATGTAAAATCTGTTGACATATTTGATTGAAGTCAACGTTTCAGTTTTTTCCGTGCATGTAACTCATTTAGAGGGTCTCACCGTTCAAATTAAACCGTATTTCATTTTGTCTTAATTTACATTATTTAATGTCATACTCTGTTCTTGTACATATCCTATATTCAATTGACATGTATATAGACTTCTTGCACAATTTTCTATTTGTATTTTTGTATTTTATTATATATGTTGCATTGTTGGAGGAGTCAGAAGAATGTCCTTGAATCATTGAAACCCTCTCCTCTCCCTCTGCAGGTCTGACAGTGCTCCGGACAAAATCAGGTAAGTTTGCTTTCCACCTTTTACCTGTATGAGTGGTGGTGGTGGGGGGGGGGGGGGGGGGTCATGTCACCCCACTAAGCCCCCCCCCCCCAACATGTGACACAGACTCACAGCTTTGTGCACCAACAGAGGGTTTCTGAAAGCTTTACATGTGCAGAGGCCGGCGCTGAATACAGTTGCAAGCAGAGGAATGCTATTGTTGTGCTATTTATTGGACAAACAGCAGCAGACACAAACAGGCTTTGTGAGGGGGGAGGTCACACACACACACACACACACACACACACACACAACACACAACCACACACACACACACCACACACACACACACACACACACACACACACACACACAACCCCACACACACACACACTTTACTCTGCAGGGCGTGAAGGCTTTCCCGTTACAAGGGTCCTGAAGCAAAGGGTTGAAGCTGAGAAGGTGAGTGATGAGTGTGTGTTTTGTGCTCAGGTGGAAGAAGTACTCTGATCATAGTAGAAATACTACAGTGTACAAATACTCAATTATTGTATTCATTACTTCAATGTTGCAGCTGGTAAAGGTGGGATTTACTTGAATTACTACATTTACTTCTGGGTGGCTTTATCAACATTTGCCTTCAATATGTATGAAGTGCTAAATATTCAAGTTATATTAAAGTACCACCTTTTTCCTACGTCAGTACTTGACTATCTTAGTTAGACTCTGCCACTGTTATGTGGAATATTACAAACAGCTTGTTCTCCACTTTAAAGAGTCCTCTCCTGCTGATGTTCAGGTGTATATCAGTATGTAGTGTCTCTACTTTAAAGAGTCCTCTCCTGCTGATGTTCAGGTGTATATCAGTATGTAGTGTCTCTACTTTAAAGAGTCCTCTCCTGCTGATGTTCAGGTGTATATCAGTATGTAGTGTCTCTACTTTAAAGAGTCCTCTCCTGCTGATGTTCAGGTGTATATCAGTATGTAGTGTCTCTACTTTAAAGAGTCCTCTCCTGCTGATGTCAATGAAACTGAGGGAATGCTTTGATTGCTGTTATTTCGATAACTTGCAGAAGTTGCCATGGTAACATGTGGCATTTTGCAGATGTGCTGCAAACTCAAGCTTTGACATGTGACATACGATCCTGTTTGTGTTTGTTTCTGAGGATTGAGTGTGGGAGGGGAGGGGTTGTAATACTACTTACTTCCCTCCAAAAGACACACATGATAGAACTATTTGTGATAATGTTGAAGCAAAGACTGAGCTTTGATTTGGGTTGAAACTAACAGGAATAGGGTGATTTCATGAAACTGAATCTAAGTGACGGAAACAAGTATTAAGGAATCAATAAAAACAAAGTTTTGGCTGCATAAATGATGTATTTTTACCCCAAACTGCATTTGGGCTCACGGCTGTTTCTGGTGGGGGGATTACATGCAACTGGATCAGGATAGAAAATAAGTATATTCTATAAAAAGAGCATATAGTGTTTGTTATAAAGGATCAGCTGTTATCTCTTCTCTGTTAGCTGTTGGCTAATACTTTAAAGTGGACCTATCATGCTATATTATAATAATATAGTGTAGGACCATACCTATATAAGGCATATTTATACTTTTTTTTTTTCAAAATACCAAACAGATCATGCATTTTAGCCATGCCTCATTTCACTCAATTTGACATTTTTTAGATCTGTTTTAGCAAGGGTTGATTCTGTGAGAACAGCACCACCTACAGGCCTGGCATATGTACTACAGCGTCTCCAGCGCTTTCGAACGGCAATGGCCGTGGCTGTCTCCTCCTGATTGGTGGAGTTGGCCCAATAGCCGTAGTGCCACCGTCCTGACGTCAGGACAGTGTTCAAATCTGGATCAGTTTTATCAGATCCGTTGCAGCCCCTTTTTAGAGATTTGGGTATGGAGGAAAATAGAGAGGGTTGTGTTTTCTGACACTTGGTGAGTTCCCTGGACACCGGGGACCCATGGTCATGTAGAAAAGACGTACACAAGTGCATTTTTGCATGATAGGTCCCCTTTAAGTTTGCATCTACAGCATACTGTATGCATACTGCCTGAATCTGCTTTATGAGGTATATATATTTGCCCTAATCATCTGCTTTTACTAATTCTCAGAATCCTGATTTTTTTTTCTTGTGATTCTTTTTTCAAAATTCGCTCCTTTTTTCACAAAATGCTAACTTTTTTCCAAAAATCTAAATTTGTTGAAAAAATTGGACTTTTTATTAAAAAAATCTGACTTTTTGGGAAAATGTCTAACTGTGTCTGACTCTAGTGTTCTAACTGGCTAATACTTTAAGTGTGAATGTATCTCTACTGCCTGAATCTGCTTTATGGTTTTCACAATATCTTGGATTCTTCTTTTATAACGTCACATTGTTTTGTTGCCTTACATAATACACTTCAGAAAAAAGAGCTTCTTACCTTTTAGAACAGGTAACTAGTAACTGTAATGGAATACATGTTTAAAGTACCCGTCCCATCTCTGGATGTTGTTGACATGATGACCTCACAAAGTAACGCAGCCTTTCAGTCTAAGGAAATTCAACGTATTTCTAAACTTAGCATCAGTGTGGATAATACGTGAATACATGAATACCCTCCCTCGGGAATCTGTGCCTCATAACTCTCTGCAGGTATTTCCTAAGTGCTCCTGAGTCGATAGCTGGTTACGAAGCAGACAGTGAATAATGCATTCTGGGTGAATTATGGCCGTGCGTTGGGAAACTTTGCAGCGTTCAAATCAAGAGTTGGCGTCGCTGTCGTGAGAGAGTCTGCAGAAAGACAGACGCTCTGAATCAAAGAAAATTATTATATGATAACTTTTCAACTTTGGGGGGATCTAAGCGGGGGAATGACTCGATGAATGTATTTATGAATAGATGGATATTAGTATGTAGTGTCTCTACTTTAAAGAGTCCTCCCCTGCTGATGTTCAGGTGTATATCAGTATGTAGTGTCTCTACTTTAAAGAGTCCTCTCCTGCTGATGTTCAGGTGTATATCAGTGTGTAGTGTCTCTACTTTAAAGAGTCCTCTCCTGCTGATGTTCAGGTGGATATCAGTATGTCGTGTCTCTACTTTAAAGAGTCCTCTCCTGCTGATGTTCAGGTGGATATCAGTATGTAGTGTCTCTACTTTAAAGAGTCCTCCCCTGCTGATGTTCAGGTGTATATCAGTATGTAGTGTCTCTACTTTAAAGAGTCCTCTCCTGCTGATGTTCAGGTGTATATCAGTATGTAGTGTCTCTACTTTAAAGAGTCCTCTCCTGCTGATGTTCAGGTGGATATCAGTATGTCGTGTCTCTACTTTAAAGAGTCCTCTCCTGCTGATGTTCAGGTGGATATCAGTATGTAGTGTCTCTACTTTAAAGAGTCCTCCCCTGCTGATGTTCAGGTGTATATCAGTATGTAGTGTCTCTACTTTAAAGAGTCCTCTCCTGCTGATGTTCAGGTGTATCAGTATGTAGTGTCTCTACTTTAAAGAGTCCTCTCCTGCTGATGTTCAGGTGTATATCAGTATGTAGTGTCTCTACTTTAAAAAGTTCTCTCCTGCTGATGTTCAGGTGGATATCAGTATGTCGTGTCTCTACTTTAAAGGACACCTATCATGCTATATTTAAATTATATATTGTAGGGCCATACCTATATAAGGTATATTTATACGTTTCTGTTTTCAAAATACCAAACAGATCATGCATTTTAGCCATGCCTCATTTCGCTCTATGTGCTCTTTGCTGTCTACGGGGCTGATTCTGTGAGCTGCAGCTGACCACGCCCCCCTGCAGGAGAGGGGAGACGTGCTCTGATCAAGTCAAGAGGGGGAGAAAAATAGATCTCCGTCCTCCGTGTTTTATTATATAGAGTCGTTATTCATTTGTTTTGAAGCTCAATAAATAACAAAGAAGACCTTTGACCGGCACTTTTCTAATTTTGTCCGGAAGATTTAAACTTTAACGGACATCTTGACCGGCGAAACAAACTGAAACTGAAACTCTGCCTCACGGTCCCCTCGTTCCTTGGAAGAGGCGGAGAGGTGGGTGTTTGTCATCTGCTGGTGGACTAACCGGAGAGAATTACAGTGCTTGCCTCGACGGGGAGGGATTGCATTGAATTAAAGCAGCGGGAGCAAACGCTTGCCTCGGGGAGGGAGAAAGAAAGCCACAGCGGAGAATAATCCGAAGGGTAACCATGGTAACTATGGGCGGGAAGTCTTCTTCGCTGCTTTTGTGGCAGACTACAGCGCCACTTACAGGCCTGGCATATGTACTACAGCGTCTCCAGCACTTTCGAGCGGCAATGGCCGGCCGTGGCCCAACCCCACATTCCCCTGATAGGTGGAGAGTTGGCCCAATAGACTTCTGTGACGTCATAGAAGTGTTCAAATCTGGATCAGTTTTTATCAGATCCGTTGCAGCCCCTTTCTTAGAGATTTGGGTATGGAGGAAAATAGAGAGGGTTGTGTTTTCTGACACTTGGTGAGTTCCCTGGAACACCGGGGACACATATTCATGTAGAAAAGACGTACAAAAGTGCATTTTGCATGATAGGTCCCCTTTAAAGAGTCCTCTCCCGCTGATTGTTCAGGTTGTATATCAGTATGTAGTGTCTCTACTTTAAAGAGTCCTCTCCTGCTGATGTTCAGGTGTATATCAGTATGTAGTGTCTCTACTTTAAAGAGTCCTCTCCTGCTGATGTTCAGGTGTATATCAGTATGTAGTGTCTCTACTTTAAGAGTCCTCTCCTGCTGATTGTTCAGGTGTATATCAGTATGTAGTGTCTCTACTTTAAAGAGTCCTCTCCTGCTGATGTTCAGGTGTATATCAGTATGTAGTGTCTCTACTTAAAGAGTCCTCTCCTGCTGATGTTCAGTGTATATCAGTATGTAGTGTCTCTACTTTAAAGAGTCCTCTCCTGCTGATGTTCAGGTTGTATATCAGTATGTAGTGTCTCTACTTTAAGAGTCCTCTCCTGCTGATGTCAGGTGTATATCAGTATGTAGTGT